GGTTGTCAGCCCCTCAGGGCAGGAACTGTGTCTTCCGTACCTTTGTACTCTGGCCTTCATAGACATTCAGCTGGTTGGTTGGTTGAAGTGAAGTGACTTATCTGTAAAGGATTTGGATCACATGAGCTGAAAGTTGGATTTCCCTGATTACTGAGCATGAAACTTGCTACTTTCACCTTGTTTCAAGGATGGACCATGCCACAGGGGCAGCGAGGAGCAGAACGAGTAGGGCAGGCTGCAGTGGTGGCAGGGGAAGCGGGCAGGCACAGGGCCCTGTGCTCTGCTTGTCAGGTTCCCAAGGTGCATCCGTGCCTACCCGCCCCGTGCGTCCCCTCGGACCAGGGCCCCCAGAACTGAACACTGTTGATTGAATTGTTACTAGACTTTCAGATGGTGCTCGGTGTTTAATGAAGTGTTTCCACTGTTGTTTACATGTCTTAGGAGATTAAGATTTGAAGTATTTTTGAGTAACAGACAAGGAAAGTGAGGTGCAGACATGATTTGGCAGAAGTCCTCTGCCAGAGTAGCTAACATAAAAGGTGAGTGGGCTCCTCCCTATTTGTGGCGTGTTTAAGGATGCGCTTTCCCATAGCACAACTTGCTCAGGTAATGCCGCATGCTGCAGACCACCACCTCTATCTTAGACCACGGCGCCCTGTGAGTTGTCACCCCTCACATGTGATCCCTGCAGTACCATCAGGGTCACCTTACCGCAGTTCTGTGTTCCTGTCATCCTGTGCCCGCAGGTCTTTTCTCTCCACTTGAATTAAACTCCTGAGACCCTAAATCCAACTTTCTTCCAGCGGTTCACTGTAGGAGCCTAGAGGTTGGATTATGGGAAGTGTTTGGCACATGATCTGGATTCTAGATTCATCATTCATTTCTAATGTGTGTGTGTCTGTCCCGTCCCGTGTCTGTCCCGTCCCCACCCCCCGCCCCCGCCCATACCTGGAATCAAACTCACGACCTTGTGCTTGCCAGGCAGGCCCTGTGCCGCTGAGCTAAATCCCCAGCCTCTCATTTCTAATGTTGAAAGTCAACATTTTCCATTACTTTTGAGCCGTAATTCCTGCCCCCTTAACTGAAGGGTGGAAGTTACCTTGGGCATTTCTAGCTCAGTGTTCCGACATGTCATTTTGTTGATGGTGGGTGGGTAACTGAGTTGTCATCCTCCACGTGTGCACTGTAAAGGTCATTTGTTCCCCCAGCTCAAGTTGCTGGCACACAGTAGGCATTTCATAAGCGCAGCAGGAGTGGATTGGAGCCCAGGACAGCTGCGTCCCATAGCTGTGAGATGCAGCCGCCTGATACTTCCCAGCCCTTTGCAGTTCCCACTTGCCTAAGGCCGATCATTCTGTCTTCTGCAGAGCCAGAGCCGCCTCATTCCTACTGGGATTCAGCCCTTGTGCTCCCTACTCAGGCAGAGGCCAAGTCTGACCTTACTGTCTCAGTCTATGCATAACCATGGGTTGTCACACGGGTGACCAGGGAGCCCTTTGAGCCACCTCCCTGCCTCTTTGCCTCCTTCAACACTCCAGGACACCATTATGTACATATCCGCTATTGTCTCCCCATCCAGTGTTTACTTTCCAAAGTGCCAGTGATCCTGGAGCCCACTGTGGTTTCAGTAGTAAGTGGAAGGGCTGGGGCTATAGCCCAGTGGCACAAGTGCCTGCCTGGCAAGCACAGGGTCCTGAGTTCAATTCCTGGTACCCCTCCAAAAAAAAATAGTAAGTGGAAGTAGTAAGTCAACTGTGGTCTCAATAGTAAGTGAAAATTCTAGAAATAGTGCTATAAATTGCACACTGTCCTGAGTAGAGTGGTACAATCTGTCCTACCCTGGATGCCAGTCACCCTTTGACCAGCACATCATCCAGCCATCATCACAGTCCTCCTGCTGACTGTTATCACGAGGCCTGCCACGGCCTAATGCAGGGCCTGTGTCGGTGAATCACGAGGCATGGTGTCAGTTCCCGTCACACAAGAATAAGAACGGTGAGTTCAGCGCTGTGACGTAGTCTGAGGGGCTGCACTGGCAAAAACATTTATTGTGGTATACTGGTAGCATTGTTCTGGTCTACTTTTGTTTACTTAAAATTTTATCAAAGCAGGTACAAGAAAAAGCATGGCATGTGTGTGGTCGAGCACTGGCCAGTTTCAGGCCTCCTTTGGCCATATTGGAACACACGCCTAGGGAAGGGGGCTGCAGTAGACGGCTGCCTGCATGCTTCCCGATGTGGTCATACACGCTGCATAGCTACGGTTGTGAGCTGCTTGAACGCAAGGGAGTACATTCTATGTTCAGTGTTGAGTAGATGATTTTTTTTTTTTTTTTTTTTTTTGAGACAGGGTCTCACTGTGCAGTTCAGGCTGGCCTGGAGCTCACTTTGTAGTTGAGGCGAGCCCTGAATTCATGACAGTCCTCTTCCTCAGCCTCCCTAGTGCTGGGATTGCAGGCGTGTGCCACCATGCCCACTGAGTTAAATGAATTTAAAGTGGTGCTGTTCATTCTTCAGTGTGGCAGGTTTCCAGATGTTTGTTATATCTTATTTGTTATCCGGTCTAAAGAATGCTTTACTGGAAATATCTGAGGTTTGTGGTTGTGGAGGTAGGAGAGAGGAGTGTTGGCAGGGAGCATTGAAGTCACAGCTCACCAAGCGTGAGAGGGTGGGAAAGAGGGAGTGAGTGCTTGTGATTCCCTAGCAAACCTGTTCCTCTTGTGCTTTCAGGACAGGATGCTGGGCATCCTGTTAGGAAGTGGCAGAAATCTGAATTACTGAAATGTTACTTTTGTTTAAAAGTGCTCTTAGCCGGGTGTAGTGGCGCACGGCTGTAATCCCAGCACTCAGGAGGTTGAGGCAGGAGGATCTTTGCAAGTTCGAGACCAGCCTGGGCTACAAAGTGAGCTCAAGGCCAGCCTGAACTGCGTAGGGAGACCCTGTCTCAGAAAGACAAAAAAAAAAAAGTGCTCTTTTTTTTTTTCCTCTCAAGTTTCCAATACATTATGTTTCACAAACTTTCTAATCTGCAGTGAGGTTGAAAGAGCGGTATAGTGGTCAGCAGCATATACACACACACACACACACACACGCCCATGTGCACGTGAACATAAATAGCATCTATCTTAACACATCCTCTTGGGGTTAGGGGCAGTCTACTAAAGACAGTGCCGTTAGCACTCCTCAGAAGTGCACTATCGATGGATGCAGTAGTCATGTCTCATACACGTGCTGTACACAGATTCTCCACCTGCCCTTTCTTTCTTTGTGTTTTTTTTTTTAACACCTGCCCTTTCTTTTGCATTTGGTCCAGGATCCAGAGACCACGTGTGGCATTAGTTGTCATGTTTTGTAAATAAATTCCTCTGCCTTTTTTTGTCTTTGTGATGGACAGATTTGAAGAATCCATGCTCCACTAGGAAGCACATAAGTTTGTTTCATTATGAGTAATAGCCAGGTTCAGTTCCTGGTTAAGTATGACTGACAAATGCTTCCTTTTGAGAAGGACCTCCCTTTGCCCTCAGACTAGTAGATCCTCGAGCTGATAGTTGAGGTCAGGAAGTATCTTGTTCCCCAGAAACCAGCCCTCTGGTTCTGCCTCTCCCGATGAGCCCTAGCTGAGTCACTGCGTGGTGGTTGGAGTAGTGATTTGTCTGGTGTGACTTTTGTCTACATTTATTAGTTGACAGTCTTTAACTGATAGATAGAACCTCCATTTATTTAAATTGCCTTTATTTTTAGAGCAGTTTTGGGCTCATAGCACAACTGAGTAGAAAGTAAAGAGTTCTCATCACCCCCTGCCCCAACACACAGCCTCCCCCACTGTCAATAGCCAGCGCCAGAGCGGTGCCTGCAGTGACAGGTGGTCGTCACCACAGCTACAGGATCCTGAGGGCTCCCTTCTGGTGTCTCCCTTCTGTGAGTTTGGGCAGATGTGTGAGACAGGCTTTCCCTATGCAGTTTAGGCTGGCTTTGAACTCACTTTGTAGCCCTTGCTGGCCTCAAAGTCACAATGATCCTCCTGCTTTAGCCTCCTGAATGCTGGGATTACAGGTATGTGCCCCACACCCATCCGAATTTCTAACACACAGTTTGTAGGTGGAGATGGTAATGGTGGTTGCTACTGCCCATATATGTGCAGTGTCAGGCAATGTGCAAAGTGCCTTGTAATTGTCATGTTTCTTTTTTTTTTTTTTTTTTCCCCTGGTACCAGGTATCGAACTCACGAACTTGCGCTTGCCAGGCAGGCACTGTGCTGTTGAGCTAAATCCCCAGCACCCTAATTGTCATGTTTCAGTAACTCAACGACTGTATGTTGACAATTAAATTTATTTATTTGTTTGTTTGTTTATTTTTATGGTACTGGGGATTGAACCCAGGGCCTTCCTACTGAGCCATATCCCCAGCCCTTTTTTTTTGATTCAGGGTCTCGTTAAGCTGCCCAGGCTGGGCTCGAACTTGTGATCGTCTTCAACCCCCTAGAGTGCTGGGATTACCTTCATGCACCACCACACCTGGCTACAGATAAATTTTACACATGATAACTTCTTGGGTACATATAGCTAGTGGTGTGAGCGTCCAGTACCTCTGTGCTGTAAAGCACTCTTTCTGTAACAGGAGCAGATGAGGGTACGCAGATTGGTAGCGCTCACTGTGTGTTAGAGGACCAGGGTAGTATGCGCAGGGGGGAGAGCAGTGTATACATTAGTAGTACTTGCTGCACAGCACCAGAAAGTCTCACCTAGCGCCTTCTTACCCCTGAGGTGGTAGAGAGAAGCAGTTGCATTATGAGCTCAGACCTCTGCAGTCCCTCTCAATATAGTGTGTCGTTCCTGGCCAGTCTGTTACCTGTTTATGTCTCGAAAAATAGGCACCTTTGGATCAGCAGTACTGTAGAAGCCTTTCCAATGTGAAGAGCTGGGGTTGCTATGGCAGCAGATATTCAGCTGCACTGCTGTGTGGCTGAGCCTGTCTTGCTCTGGGGCAGGGGCCCTGGGCTGACCTGAGTCCTGTCTGTCTCCTCCTAGGTCCCGTGGCAGTGCTGGTGGCCATGGTTCCCGTAGCCAGAAGGAGCTGCCCACAGAGCCCCCCTACACAGCCTATGTAGGAAACCTCCCTTTTAATACAGTTCAGGGTGACATAGACGCTATCTTTAAGGATCTCAGCATAAGAAGCGTACGGCTAGTCAGAGACAAAGACACAGACAAGTTCAAAGGTGAGTCTTGGGAATTCTTATTACGTATTACTGTGAAGGAATGCGGGGACCTGAGTGAAATGTATTGTTGAACTAGAACCTTCTAATCATGAAAGGGTGGCTGACATAAACATACAGCAGACCTTTGAGCTACAACCAGCATCCCATAAGAACAACTTAGGTTACAACCAAAATTTTAGTTTTAGCTTAGGGCCAGAGTCTTGAGTTACAACCCAAATGCCAACCGCTTGCACAGTTGTAAACAAACTCTCTCTCTCAGCCAGAAAAGCATATGTAAGGAAACCTCCAGTATGTGTCAGTCTGAGCCATGATTTCAACCAGTGCTTTATATAATCACGTGATTACCACTGTCAGAATAGCCCTGAAAAAGCTAAAGAAGAAGGAAGGGAAGGTAAAGCAATCACAGTCATAAAGAACAGTGGTAAAGAAAAAACAGAAACAGACAACCTCAGAGCAGTTATTAGTTCAGGAAAGGTTGAGACCTAGGGAGCCAGATGCAGGTCCTAGTGGGCTACAGACTCCCAAGGAAAGGACGCCAGAGAGCCAGGTTCCTGATGTTCTTACGGAAGGGGCCTCCCCTTCAAACAGTAGCACCTTCCATTCATCCTCCCTTCCTGCAAGCCAGAGATTTCCACTTCAATGGTGAGTACTGTATGAAATTGTTGTTTTTGATAAACTAGGCACATTTTATAACTTTTTGGTGAATGCACTAGGAAAATTACTGGTGTTTCTGGTAAATTGTGCACATTATACAACCGTTTTTTATTATAGAAAGGTTAGTTAAGGGGTTCTGTCGGAGGGTTGGAACCATCGTGGGTGTTTCCATGATTGCTCCACCAACCTGAGTTACAAGCAGCCTCACGAGTGAGTGGAGTTCGTAAGTCAGTGGTGGGCGGTAGCTCTTCCATTCGTAGTGCTTAAGTTCTGCTTGGGAAAGCAGCACTTTTCACATAATCTAGTTTGTAGAAATATGTGGTGTGTGCCCAGGTTTGTTTACCTGATCTTCATTTTCTAGCAGTCCAGTCTCAGCCACCAAAGGAATTAGCCAGGGGAGAAATGGGATAAAAGTGAGGGCTTTCCAGGCCTTTTCCAGCTTGACTGACTGGTGTGTTTTTCTTTTCTTTTTTTTTTTTTTCGTGTATTTTTCTTATAGTTAGAAATGGAAAAGATAACCTAGTCAGCCAGCGTTGCCAGTGTAAACTGCACGTGTGTTTAGGGCAGGCTTGGCTTGATTCAGGTGACGGCAGTGTCCACAGATCAGCCTCTGGGGGGCGCTTGGGCAACAGGAGTAAGGAGGCTCGATGATCACGATCTTCTTTCCACTTTACTGGCGCCAAGCATGCGCAGCCGGGCGTATGGTGCCTCCATGGTACCTGTGATGAGCTTTAGAATTTCAGGCCCATGTGACCCATGAGCGACCCCACCCCAGGCTGCACTGTAGCCTGGGTTTTGGAGTTTGTTTCCAGCTCCTCTGTAGTGAGCAGCTCCAGAGTAGGAGCTGTGTGGCTGGGCTGTTGTTGCCTCCTTGAATTTGGGAGTGGTTTTCTCAGCTGTGCTCAACAGTGAATGCACAGGGCGGGTGAGGCAGTGGGGATGAGAGGCTGCTTAACTCAGATGTAGACTCCAGGCAGCAAGGAAGCGACAGTGTCAGAGTCCGTGTCAGGTACAGGGCGTCAGTGACATGTGCATGGACTTAGGTCATCAGCAGATACCCGACGAGAATACCTGTGTTACTGAGGATGCGTTCACTTCAGCTACCTGAGTGGGAACGCACTGGGCACCTCAAGCCTATTCAAAGCATTCATTCACTTACTTCAGTGCTGGAGATTGAGCCCAGGGCCTTGGCACTGGGTTCCATCCCTGGTCTGCCCTTTTTTATGTGGAGACCAGGCCTCACTAAGGTGCCCGAGCAAGATCCCAACTTGTCCTCCTGCCTCAGCCTTTGGTTAGCACTTTATGATTGATAAAATAAGATTTAGGGGCACGAATACCAGTTGTGATCTGTTTCTGAGAGTGAATGTGCTCTTCTAAGTCTGCTGTCACCTAGATGCCCCCAAACCGGTGTAGATTGGTGGAACCTCTCAGATCGCAGCAGATTGTAGTCGGGAACCACTTGAGGAAGCTGGGGTTTCTTTCTCTTGCAGGGTTCTGCTATGTAGAATTCGATGAGGTCGACTCCCTGAAGGAAGCGCTGACCTACGACGGTGCAGTAAGTACCCCCGGGGATGTCAGGCCAAATGAGCAGTTGGGATTTGTTTTCTTTCGGATACTTACACTGTTTTGCCCTTACCATTAGCTGTTGGGTGATCGGTCACTTCGTGTGGACATTGCAGAAGGCAGAAAACAAGATAAAGGTGGCTTTGGATTCAGGAAAGGCGGACCAGATGACAGAGGTGATTGGTTTTTCTAAAACTAAATATATCTTGCTGTGTGCCCACCACGTAACGACTCCTGAGCGTCACTGGCAGAATCTGCCTCTCGGGTTTGATAGGGTCTGGGAGCTGTAAGCTTTGTAAGAGCTTAGAAAGTGTAGCTAGGCTTCTGAAAGCCTGGTTTTTTGTTTTTCGGGTTTTTTTCTGTCGGCAGCAAAACCTGTTAGACTTATTTCATTGAACTCCCATCACATGAGTTGTATGTCTTCCCAGTAAATTTTTCCATGTTTCTGCAGCAAGGTAATGATGCGACCTCAACCTTTATCTTTTTTGTGTATCCTCAGGAATGGGTGGCTCTCGAGAATCTAGAGGTGGCTGGGAGTCCCGGGATGACTTCAATTCTGGTATCAGTATTTACAGTATCGCACTTCTGTTCCCAGTAGCTTCACTGCCTGGTGCTTCTTGGGAGAAGCTGGCCCAGCCCGACTGTTTCTTTAGCTCTTTTCACAAACGGAACTTTCCCCACAGGCACCCAGGCGCACAGTAAACGTCTCTCCAGACCCCGTTGGGCAGGACGGAGGCTGCGTCATGGGCAGTCAGACCCAGGCCCTGGGCGTTCTTTCCCCGGCCCGGCACTTTCTGCGTGGTAGTCTTCCTACTGCCGGGGCCCTTGCCCAGGGGAGTGGCTTCACGTGCCTGTGTGTGGCACCAAGGGGCACCATTGCTTCTGGAAACACCGGTGTGTGGGCACTGGAGACTTCAGAGAGCCTTACAGCTGTGCTTCCTGGTGGCCCCTCCTCAGCTGGTGCAGGTCATCCTGGCGGCCTGTTCTTTTCTCAAGGGGCTTGGAACTTGAGTCCCTTCAAGAATGTAGCATCCTGTCTCAGCAGCCCAGGAACTCGGCTCCCAGGCCAGGCTCTGTCTGGAAGGTTGATTTCTCAAGGACTTTGTCATGTCTACTATTTTTTAATTATGCGGGTAACTCATGCATGGTAGGAATGTCATTCATAAGAGAGGTTTAAAAGGAAAAGCAGGTCTGTTTTCCTTCCCACAAACTTGAGGTGCTTGCTGTGCACTGTTACACAATACAGGAACATCAGCCCCCAGCCCTACTCAGCACATCTTGCCTGTGCAGAAGCACAGGAGAGGCTGGTGCTGCTGCTCTCTTCCAGTGCTGTGCAGTGACCTGTTGAGTAAGTTCTTGAACATCCTGCCCCAGTCAGAAGTGAGCTTATTCATAAAAGTGCAGTGTCGTCCAGTAAGTCTGTAACTTTATGTATAAGCTGATCTCCGACTGAAGCGTGCAGCGGAGGTCCTCCCGAGCCAAGCTGGGGCAGCGGTCGGGGCTCCGTGACAGCTTTGCGTCGGCAGGTGCTGCGGGAGTGGCGCACAAGCTCAGAGCACCCGTGTGCACCTCCCGAGAGAGGCACCTTCCCACGGTTGGCTGCCCCTCGGTGCCCGGGCAGCCTCTGCCTTGCCACCTTCCTGCTCCACATGAACCGTGAGCGACGATTGCGTCCCGCCCACATGCTCCATGCCTGCTTGCTGGAGTCACAGCTGGTTTGATGCTTTAGACATTGCTTGGAAGAGTAGATCCTTTTTTTACTCTTAATAGAAGAATACTGTTTTTTAAGTGGCATGTATTCATTGTAATTTTTAAAACCACCCAAAGTTAAGCAATACAGAATAGTACAAAAAGGAAAGAGGCCACAAACAGTCCCCTGGGGCTGGGCGTGTAGCTCGCTGGGGCGTGTGCTTAGCGTGCGTGAGGCCCTGGCTTCCCTCCCCGGCACCGCACACTCGAGAAATGGGCCAGTGTGCTTAAGGAAACCACAGAAAACTCAAGGGTCTTGTGAGTAGCGAGTCTCATAGAGCGCTGCCCAGAAGCTGATCAAAGGACTTGTTAGTGCCAAACCTTGCTCTTACTTCCTGCGGGATTTCCCAGTGCGCATTGTACAGGGGCGTTGGAGGCGGGGCTCTGTGCTGCTTCGTGCCCGCGCCCCTGGGAGCACACAGCAGCCATGTGCTGATTTGCCACATCAGTGTAGGGTGAGCTGGTGGGTTTCTTGCCAAAAGCTGGCGCAGTCTAGTCTCCTAGGAAAGGGCAGGACTTTGGGCTGCAGGTAGAAAGGGTAAGTTTTTAGTTTGGGGGAAATGTCTGGTTAAATGTTTGAGTACTAATTTCGTTTTTTGGTGTTTTGTTTTTGTTTATGTTTTTGGGTATTTTTAATGAGCTGTAGTCCAGTTAAGACTGTAAAGGACCTTGTATTTGACTGCATCCTAGTATATTTTCTGCAAAGTAAAGCTCCTGTTACTCTATTCCCCAAATCCCTGCCACCTGTAACGAGCAGACATGGTGTCTGAGGTACCTGCAGCCGGCTCTTGTTAGCCAGGGTGGCTGAGTTCTCTAAAGTCACCCTGAGCACTACAGCAGCCAGGCCTGCGAGCCTCTGGTCCCTGCAGTCTCGCTCCAAAGTAGCACCTAAATCTTGTTTTCTATGTGCTTGTGTTGAGAGAATATTTAATTCTGGGTATTTTAGTGGGTAGCATTGAGTCATGAATGTGAGACTTGTAGCCGCTAGTAGCCAGATGCTTGCCACACTGCAAGTTGTGATCGCAACCTGATCACAGGTCCCCCTCACACCCGTGCCTGTCCCAAAGGTGCACCACACCTTCTGGCTGTTGAGCACTGGGCAGCGTCCTGCACTGCGTTGTGGGCCATTGTCCACACTGACATCGCCAGCTAAGAGCAGGAAGGAGTGGAAGGCCCAGCCCCAGGCCCTTGTGAAGGCTGCATCTGGTGCAGGAGCTGAAGGGGAGAGCAGAGGGTGGTTCCATTATACTCCCAGGGGAGCGCACATGAGATGGCTCCAGCCCTGCAGAAAGGCCGCTCCTTTGGTTAGGGATTAAACATAAATTTTGCAGGTAGGTTAATCTGAATAATGAGGATCAACTGCATATAGAAAGACCCTCAGGCTCTGAGGGGTTGTCTCAAAAACAGGTTAGTTTCTGAAATACTTTGAACCATGACACCACCCCTTGAGTAAGGTACAGGCAGTCTCCTTCCAACGTCTGGCAGAGTGAGCCACTGTCCTCCCAGGCTGCGTCTACAGTGGTTAACTTCAGGGGCTGTGCTGTTAAAAGTTTAAGTTGCCCGCCTCCTCCCCCCTCCTTGACATAGTCTTGCTATGTAGTTGAGGCTCGCCTCAAACTTGCAGTTAGCTTCCCGAGTGCTGGCACTGCAGGCCTGAGCCTCCTCACCTGGCTCTTTAGCTTCTCTTACAAGTCTCTGAAGACTTCACATCTGGGGCTGGGGATTTAGCTCAGTGGCAAAGTGTCTGCCTGGCAAGCGCAAGGTCGTGAGTTCGGTTCCCGGCACCGGAGGAAAAAAAAAAAAGACTTCACATCTATGCAGAGAGAATCCTTCCTTTGATGCCAGATGAGAATCCCAGCATTGCTGGGGAAGGGACCACACAGGAGGAAGGCAGGGAGGGATGCCAGCACCCACCTTGGAGGGAGTGGCCGCCTCCCATAGCCTGGTTATCTCGAGTGCTTTGCTTTGAGTAGGGAAGTGGGGGGTTGTCACCCAGAGGTGACTTGATGCTTTAATTTCATACAGTTTTTCCTTGTGATTTTGTGTTTATATTTAGTCTTTCTAAGTAGCTGTGGATTTGTTAGAAACTAGACTGAGGCAGTTTCCAAAAGTCTGCAACCGCCCAGGCTGTCTGACCAATACATGGAACAGAACAGTTGTAGTCGCAGTTTTGTGGTTCCCAGTGTTTTGGCTTTGCCTGTCTTGGTGGGAAAGGAAAATGCTGCCGCCGGCGCTGTGGTCAGCACTTCACCCCGAGACCAGTTCCGATGACGCTTGTGCATACTGTCGTGCTGCGTTAAAGGGCTGATCTTGTAAAAGAACTGATTTTTCTGACTTCTTAAATATCACGGACTGTACAAAAGGTAGGCATAATAGTGAAAGAACACCTGAGCCAGTCAACCAGAAGTCGAGACACTGAGAAGAAAGGTCTGAGCTGAAACACAGGTTTCAGAACACACCATTCAGATAAACCAGGGACAAGTTTGGAATTTAAAATATCTACCTCCTAAAACAAGCACTCAATAAACTGTCATCAGGGAATGAAGAAGATAAAAAGACTGCGATGAAGTTAAGATTGGAACCTCATGTATAAGTGGAGGATGTTTGCAGAAATGTTGGGGTCTGAGAAGTCTAGAAGTCTGCGTGTCATTCTGGAGTACCGGTTTCCCATGAGGGGATGAAATGTTGGGGTTGTTGCAGAAGAAAAAGCTCTGACTTTAATATGTTCTTAGCCCAAGAGGACTGAACAACAGGGAAACGCGTCAGACTAGGAAGGGTGCCAGGGGGAGTTGCTCCGTGTGATGTGACTGCGTCAGGCTGGGGGTGCAGTCAGCTAGAAACTCCCTCCTGCTCTTAGTTGAGTAGAAGCAAACAGTACTTCAGTAAGTGTGCACATTGTATTTGAAGGAGAGAAAGAGTTTCATTGAAACGTGAAATACAGGGTGTGATTGGTACAAAGCGAAGTTAGGTAAGTGTGACTGCCACACAGATTGAGCTCACCCTGAGAAAAGCTGGACCTATGCAGTGAGCAAGCCTTGAACTGCCTGCAACCGAAAAACAGGAAGAACAAGAAGGTATTGCGGATTGAGTGGAAGAGGAAAAAGAAACTGTTGCCTATTTGAGAAATCGAAGTTGGTGAAGTTGTGGCTTGCTGTTGTAATCTCCTAATTTTGCTCTTTCGTTTGTGACTCTGGTGTTTCCGGGTTAATATTAGGTTTTTTAAAAGCCAAAGTCAGGTTATCTTTTTGTCTTCTGTTTTTGTTTTTTTGTTGTTATTGTTGTTTTTCTTCTGGTATCAAGAATTGAACTCATGACCTTGTGCTTGCCAGGCAGGCACTGTACCGCTGAGTTAATAAGTCCCTAGCCCCTTCTTTTTGTCTTCTGTCTTCCCTTTGAGATCTGTAAGATTGATTATTCATTTTTTCTCACTGTTAGAGCCATATTTGTGTCCCATACTTTAAGAGGCTAGAAATTAACTCATAAACATAATGGAAGGATTTTGCAGTACAATACAATGTTAGGCACAAAAATGATTTAGGACTGAACTTTGGTCCCATAATTAGTAAAGCATAAAATGTCAAATTGTAATAAAGTATTTCATGGATTTTTGTTCCTATATTACTTGTGAAAGGGTTTTTTTCCTGTCTCTTTTTTTGGTACCGGGAATCGAACTCAGAACCTTGTGCTTGCCAGGCAGGCACTTACGCCACTGAGCTATATTCTTGGCCCCGATACTTGAAAGTCTTTAAAGAAGATCTGCATTGTCTTCCCTATGTGCATAGTTTTTCTAGGAGGATTAATTTTGAGATAATGCAGCAGGTAAAACAGAATGTGTGTTAACTAACAATTTATTACAGTGTAATTTAAACATTAATACCTATACTACTTGCCAAGCATATAATGTAAAAATATAAGAAATAAAATCATGTAAGTACCAATTTGGCTAAAAGTTACCATTTTATAGGACTAAGCAATGATGTTTAAAAATCTTTTTGTTTATTATTTGTATGATGTTATGACTAAATTGTACCTGACTTACAGTCTTAAGTCTTTTAGTCTTTTAGTTACCTGTAAAAAATAATACCTGGTTTCCATGATGGTGAAAAACTATAAAATTATAAACATAAAGGTTTGTGGAAATACATTGGAGTATGGGAAACGTAGATACATAAATTTTGCTTTATGACAACTATTACACGTTGAATAAAATAGCTTAGTTCTTTCAGAGAAAAGAAGGTAGACTGAGGCCTGTTGCTAGGATTTCTGTTTGAAGCCATAGTAGGTAAAGGATAGTCTCATGTTTTTGCACTTTTCCTGCCAGCTGAGAATTTAAACCACCATTTTATTCTCTCCTATGATTCTGCATCTTTTTTCCTTAATCTGTGAATCTTATAATTACACAGCAGACTCTCGCTTGGACGTGTTTTTCGTGTGCTTTATTGTGGAAAACCTCAGGTGCTGGGCAGACTAAAGAATGAAACGTAAACTCAGAATCAGTTCACAGAACACCGTGTAACTGGCTTTGAGATGGTCGTGTAAAGAGAATTCAGCAGCTCCTGTCTCCTTCAGGTTACAGGGATGACTTCCTAGGAGGCCGAGGAGGCAGTCGCCCAGGGGACCGGCGAGCAGGCCCTCCCATGGGCAGCCGCTTCCGAGACGGCCCCCCGCTGCGCGGCTCCAACATGGACTTCCGGGAACCCACAGAAGGTATGGTGTGGGCCCCCTGGAGGGGTGCTGGTTCACACTCACCCCCAGCTCAAGTGCCCCTTCCCGCCATGCACAGGGGCTGTCTCGGGTCACCCTTGTCTCAAGTAGGATATCTGACAGTCCAGCTCTGCTGCTTATCTGAGAGCATGAGCTAGCCCTTCCAGAGCGCTCGGTGACACACAGCCTGCTGCGGCACGCGTGCTGTAGGGTCGCCACCACCGGGCTAGGCTGTCAGACACTGTCTTCCGTCTGGCTGCTTTGCCTGGTTATGGGGTGAAGCCATCTCTAAGCAGCGCTTTTCTCTGCAGAGGAAAGAGCACAGAGACCACGGCTCCAGCTCAAACCTCGGACAGTGGCAACGCCCCTCAACCAAGTAGCCAACCCCAACTCCGCCATCTTCGGGGGAGCCAGGCCCAGAGAGGAAGTCGTGAACAAGGAGCAGGAATGAGCGCGCGGCGGGAATGGGTGTGGGGAGTCAGAGCGAGGCCCGGCGGAGGCCCGGCCGGCCGCAGACGCCGCTCCTGCACCTGACACTGTCCTCGTCCTTGCAGTGGAAACACCGAGCTTGTGAATGCATGTCAGCTGTTAACAAGTGGTTTTTAGTACATCCTTGGCTTTGCTGTACCTATCTAGTGCCTGTTTCGTGCTCTTTATTGTTTCCTTCCTTCTCTGTCCTCATTTTCCTCTGTCCGTCCTCCCTCTCGCCCCCGTGTCTTTGCAGCACGCGGTGTCCGGAGGAGGCGTGAGGGCCGCCAGGCGGGAGGCGCAGGCCCAGGTGCTGCTGGCTTTGGTTCTTCTCTTTTGCCTTCTCTTTCATTTTCCACATGGGCCAGACTTGATTTTTTCAGTGCTTCTTTTCTGATCCGCATGCTGAGTTCTGTGTCGCTGTGGCTTCCAGGAAAAAGCAGAAGATGCTGGCAAGTTGGCCGGCACTTTGTTTGTATCCAGCTGTGATCAGTATGCAGAATTGGAAGCACCTTGTGCTGAAAACAAGGAAAAATTCCTGTGACCCTTGCAGCTTCCTTCCACTCCTCTGGTCCTGCTCCCAGGTGTGCTGTCGCCGGCGGCCCTCCCAGGGCTGGACGGCAGAGCAGGTGGAGCCCGGGCAGAGTGGGCTTTGGCGGTGCTCCTCGCTGTTCCCCAAGGGCTCTGTGTGCGCTGCCCTTCGCTGCGCTCTCCCGAGGCCATGCCCAGATAGCTCCTCTCTGGGGGCTTCCCGGGCTCCCCGTGCTGACTGCCGTGGCTGCCCAGTGGCTTGTGTCGTTTGCGTGGGCTCGGGCGCTGTGGAGACCGGGCAGCAGTGGTGCTGGGCTGGGCCGACACAGTGATGCGGACCTGGCCTTCCCGCATCCCTGTTGTCTGTTGGGCGTCTCCCCCTTGCGTCGTTCCCACAAAAGCAGCCTACTGAGACTGCTTCCCACCGCCCCTGCGCCCATAGTGGAAGTGGCCTCAAAACTGGCACTTTATTTCCCGTGGTGAATTGGAAGTTTTCTGTGCCGAGCTGTTCGGGCCTGGCTGACTGCTGAGGACTGCAGACATTCGGCCGGCCACCTCCTCTCCCAGATGCGCTTGCTCGCACACGCAGTGCTTGGCGCTCACCCAGGAGGAAGGTGTTGGGCAGCAGCTTTTGCACTCAGATGCCTCGTGTGAGCAGGTGGAAAATCTTTAGTGCCTGAGTCGGTCTGTGCCAGTGGGAGAGCTAGAGCCCCGGAGAAGGGAGACCCGGTCGGGGTGACTGGAAGGCCAAGGCGTGACAGTGTAGTTGCTTGGCCTGGGGTTCCTGCTAGCTGTCGTCCTTGGCCCCTCTGGTCTGTCTCTGTTGCAAGGTCTCAGCAACTTACAGAACTCACACTTCCCCCTCTGCCTGTCATCTTCTCTGCTTCTGAGATAAGAACCATTTGTGTAACACCAACACCTAACTTAAGAAAGACATGCATTACGTGGTTGTAACAAACCTGATGCTTTTGAGACGACCCACACACATCCTCAATGCAGAAAGATCAAGAGCAAAACAAATCCGCCCGAACCGCTGGGGACCCAGCTGGCTTCCAGATGCGAGGGTGGGATTCCAAACACTCAACACATTCAGCTGTATGACAGAAAGTAAATCTATGGATATGGTATTTTGTGAATGATCTTTTAAATAAAAGAAAAACCTTACGTAATATCTAATGTCTACCTTTATTCTTGAGTTCTGTTTAGCTGCTTGTGAAACTCAGTTAAATTTGAGAAGCACTGTCTGAATTCAGAAGAGTATACTACATGTGAGGTATAGGATTATGGCATTTTTAGGAGCTAGAAGTAGGATGCCGGTGTTTTTCTTCCTCTTTCTGTCACTTACTAAAAATGTGATTTTCCCCAACCTGACAGAGAAGAAACCTTACAGTGATAGTTTGGGTTAGGTACAAGAAGCATTTTTCCCCCAAGGTGGGAAAACCGCTTGTGGAAGAAAGTCTAGCTCCTCACAAGTCTAGCTCCTCACTGTCCGCATCCACAGCAGTGGACGTGGTCATGGCCAACGGGTGTGGGCGGGCAGGCTGTGCTGGTCACTACATGTCTGATGCCCCTCTCAACAGGCAAGGTGCAGGGCTTTGAGGGGTGCCTGGAAGACTGCTACACGGGGTGGGGCCCACTGGGGGGCACATGGTGACTGAGGAGCTCAGAGGCTGGCCCCAGGTAGCAGAGGAACTCAGCAGGGTGGGGCCCTGGGTTCCAACCCCGGCAGCAGGAGAGAAGCGTGGACTAGGCATTGGTGCACAGGTGCCCAAGGTGGCAGTGTCCCAGCCACAGGGCAGAAGGCCTGAGGCATCTGGGTGTCCTGAAGCAGGTTGGTCCTGGAGGTGGCTTGGCTTTGGGGAATGGGATTTGCCAGAGGTGGTCACGTGCAGACTAAAGTGCAACCGCTACAGCTACCTGCCTGCCGCCCCTCTTAAGTCACTGAGTGCAGGCGGGGTGTGGCCCTGGAGAAGCCCCTGGACAGGACAGGACCCGTTCCTGTATTTGAGACCAGTGGTGTCTCCCTGCTGTCTGAATGGCCGTGAGGATCTGCAGTTCACGTGCTAAGTGAAGTCCTTTGAACAAGCTTTTTGAAGAACTTTGGGACCTGGCCCTGCTGCCTTGCGTGGACAGGGGGCTGTGTGTATGGGCTCAGAAGGCAGAGAGGAAGGGTGCCAGGAGTTTTGCTGGCGTCCACTGTCCCCTTGGTGATGTCCAGAAACCAGTCTTGTTCTCAGCAACGGCGATGGCTTAGCAGAGGTGTAAGTCTGACCAAGAAGCACAGTTATTTCACCCCAGACCTGAAATTGCCTGGAGTTGCAGTTTTGGGCTTGTAAGGGAAACAATTTAATACAGGACACAGATTTATAGGATTAGTTTATAGTAATCACCCAAAGAGCCAGGTACAAAAGAGTGCAGGAAATCTGCGCACACAAAAGACCCAAACAATCCAGCCAAGGGCCTGGATCCCACAGCAATATCCTGCATGAGTCCAGTTGACCTGGAACCCAAAACTGCCTCCCATGAGTCCAGCTGGGGCTTAGAGCTGATGACAGTGTCTCCCGCAAGTCTTGTGGATCTGTGCTGGGAAGGCCCAAAAGTCAGCGGTGGAAGCTAGAAAGTCTGTGCCAGCGGGATGAAGGATCTGTGCCAGCAGGCTGAGGAATCTGAACTGGAGCCAGAAAGTGACAGTCAAAGTAAGGACCAGAGCTCCCCCAAAGAGAACCACAGCCGTCCTCAGCAATAGCGAGGCCCTGAACTCCTCTGATGAAGAGTACAGCAGAGTTCACATCAGGAAAGCCAGCGTGACAAGCTCCCCCAGGAGAACCAACAGCACCCTTCTTTCTCTCCAGTTCTCCTTTTTATGCTGTTGGCAGCAATCCTTAGTGGGCCCTCCCCACCCAGCACCACGCTGATTCAGTTCATCTGGGTATTACAAGTTGTCAATCCACCGCACCTGGTGTGAGCTAGGCATCTCTGGAGATATTGAGATGTTTGGGGTGGGTGGGTGTGTGTGTGTGTTTTGAGATGGTCTTGCTCTGTAGTCTCAGGTGGTCTTGAACCCACCATGTGGCCCAGGCTGGGCTCAGACTTGAACCCTCCTACCTCAGCTTTCCCGTGGGAGGGACCCTGGGTGTGCGCTACCATGCTTGGCTCTGATCTCAGTAGCATCGAGCTCCCTTGGGAAGGACCAGGGATATACAGCTCAGCGGCACAGCACTACATGGCAAGTACAACATCCAGAGTTGCATTCCCAGTACCAAAAAAAAAAGATCCCTTGGAAATTGATAGTGTTTTTTGTGTGCATTAAACTCTTGGAATACCAGCTGGACACGGTGAAACCCTGAATCCCAGCACTCTGGGAGTCTGGCAAGTTCAAGCCCAGCCCTCTTCAGTTTTGTGATTCTGAGACCTCGTCTCAAAGGGGTAGGGTAGTGACGTCATTGTGAAGCCCCAGTTCAATCCCCAATGCCACCGAGAGAAAAATTGCTCATGAGTTTAAAAAATTATTTTTCGGAAAGTGATGGGATGGCAAATGACAACTAACACAGCTTCTCCAAGATTTGGGATACAAACAGGAAAATTACCACGTAGGGCAGGAAAAAAGCACATCCCCAGGAACAAGGAAGGGATCTGACAGAAAAGTCCTCTGGAGAAGTTGCGACAGCACAACTGGGAGAGAGGACCTTCTGCGCTTCCCCGCTGGCTCCCAGCTCATGGCTGGTGAGAAAGGGACACCTACAGAGACAGTGAAAGATGGGGATACCAGGGGGCCTTGGGCAGAAATGCAGTGGCAGAATGGGCTACGGGTGCTATGATCTGCAGGGAGAGTGGAATTCTGATCCCACCTGAGTCCTACCTGCAACAGCTGGCGAGTGCCTCCAAGTGATGCCGTACCCCTGGAGAGAGGCGGATGCCGTTCCAGGGCAGCGGTGCTGGTTTGAACCTGGGAGTGAGCGGCTGCAGGATGGCTGCCCTTCAGGGCTCCTGGTGTCATGTTCCAGTAGTGACTAGGCAAGAGCCATGGTCAGGGAGCGGGCTGGAAAAAGACCTCCTGAGGGATTTCAGCGGAGGGACAGGGCCCCTCCCCCACGGCCAGAGGCCAGGCCCAGCCTGAGTTGCCCTGGATTTGGAAGTTGTAGCATCGGTGCCCTCACCCTCCTACTGCCTGCTGGTGCCTGCATCAAGCACAGACCTGAGGTCAGCCTGCCTCCTTTATCTACCAGCACAAGTAGGGATACATGTTGACTTGGACACTTCCCCAAAGTTGTAGATGCCAGAGAAACATACATTCAAAATTACAGAGAATTGGTGTGTCACCTGAGAAGTGGCGGAGTGGCGAGCTGCAGAAAAATAGCCTCTCGGAGACTTGGTGTCCAGACATGAATATATAGCAACGTGAGGAAGAAAAGGAGGGAAGTGGGTCCCCCAGGCACAGCAAGGATCTGAAGTAAAAATTGAAGCCCATGGGAGGGGTGAAGAGAGACTTCAACAAAGAAGGAGGAGCAAGCAGCACTTCCTGAGCCCTGACTCACTGCGTGGGGTAGGGGTGGGCACTTGAACCTGCAGACCCCTGGTGACTACAGGCGACACCAAGGGCCTGCACAGAGAAGCACACCAGTGGAACGGAGCAGGGGACACAGCAGACTGCAGTGGCTGCTGAGCCAGCTGTCCTCCAGGAGAGGGTGCTTGGCCAGTAGCCATCCTGGAGAGGGGTCGACTGAGCTCAGAACTCAGAGAAGCTGAGGCAGCCCCATCTAGGGGTTCCTGCTGTCAGGGTGAGGCAAAACTGAGTTCAGGTCACCAGAGATCAAAGAGCCAAGTTCATTCCAGCAGGAGGCACACGGAGTTGCAGGCTGAATAAATCAGGTTCCAGCCTCACAGAGAAACCAGCCTGAACTTCAGTGTAAGTGACCGTGCAGGCCTGCTGAGGTTATCCGCTAGCCTGCTGTGAATCTCCACCGGCTTGCTGGGGTGAATCAGCGTGGCTCTGCTCTGTCTCCCCAGTTTCTCCACCAGTGACAGCAGAGGTAGGCCTTGAAGTAGACTTATTTTTCTTACTTTCTTCTCTTTCCTTGGTTTTGTTTTTGTTCTTTTTTCTTCATTGTTCCTGGTTTGGTTTGGTTTGGTTTGGTTTGGTTTGGTTTTGATACCAGAAATCGAACTCAGGACCTTGTGCTTGCTAGGGAGGCACTGTGAATCTGAGCTCTATCCCCGGCTGTTCCTGTTTTTATGTGCATGTGACATTGTTTCTAGTTTGGTTGTTGTTCTGTTCTGTTCTTGTTTTTATTTCTTCTCTCCTCTTCACCAGTTTCCCAAAGTTTGCATCATCTTCCTTTGTCCTTCAGCCTTGTTTCTAATCTCTTCCTCTTCTATTTCTCTATTTTTTTCCCAAAGCCCTTGAAATTTTCTTTCCTGAGGGTATAATCACCATTCTGAGGGCATATTTACTATATATGATTTCCTGGGGTTGTTTTTGCTTTTGTTTGAGATAGGCTCTCACTATGTAGTTCAGGCTAGCTTTGAACTCATTAGGTAGCCAAGCTGGCCTCAGAGTCACAGTGATCATCCTGCCTCAGCTTCCCAAGTGCTGAGATTACAGGTGTACATCAGCTTGCCTGGCTTCTGGTTTGTTTTAGAATTTTTTATGTAGCTACAAATCTAGTTCATATGGTTTAAAGTGACAAGTTAATAGTTACCACCCTTTGTCATTTTCTAGCCTGTGTTTGATGCTATTGTTGTTGCTGGTTGTACTGCTTTAGCAAAGGTGACATAATTGTTCTAATAAGTTGTTCTTCCTGGTATGTCAAGACTGAAACTGCCTAAAGGTCATAAAAAATACTATAGAGCCGAGCATGGTGGCTCATGCCTGTAATCCCAGCGCTCAGGAGGCTGAGGCAGGAGGATCGTTGTGAGCTTGAGACCAGCCTGGGCTACAAAGTGAGCTCAAGGCCAGCCTGAACTGCATAGGGAGACCCTGTCTCAAAAAGACAAAAAACAAACAAACAAACAAAAAAAAACCAAATAGCTCAATTAGACAATAAATCAATAAAGAAATATCAGAACTGAGCCAAAGTTTTGAATAAATGGAATTAGTAGATGCCTACAGAGTGTTCCACCCCTCAACATCAGAATATACATTCTTCTCAGCTGTACATGGGATGTTCTCCAAGGCAGACTACATAGTAGCTCTACATCCTTAATAGTATAACTATAAAGCTTTATTAATCTTTAGATAGTTAACTCTGTAAGATTACTATTGAATTATTTTTTCTACCATTAACAGATACAGTTGTTGCATTCAGTACATAGCTTTAAGTCAGTACCTGAGTTGTCTTAATATTTACACCATACATGTGGAAAAGCAAGTTCGAATAACCTAATGGCATGCCTCAAGGTCCTAGAACAAGAACAATCCAAATCCAAAGCTAGCTATCAGAGCAGAAACGAATGAAAACCCTATGAAGTTGAAAAGGAAGCCAGGCGTGGTAGTGCATGTCTATAATCCTAACACCTGGGAGGCTGAGGCAGGAGGATCACCATGAGTTTGAGAGCAACCTGAACTACATAGGAAGATTCTATCTCAAATAATGAAAAATAAATTGAAAAGAAAGCAGTTCTCCTAAAGTCATTCCTAGAAGCAAGCATCACCTGATTCCAAAACTTGAAAATAACCCAACCAAATAGGAGAACTACAGGCCAATCTCTTTAAAGCCCACAGATACAAAAATCCTCAGGCACACAGAGACAAAAATTGCCCAGTAAGATACTGGTAAACAGAATGCTGCAACTCATCATGAAGATCAAACATCATGACCAAGTAGGATTTATCTCAGGGATGCAGGGATGGTTCAACATATGCAAATCAATAAGTGTAATAAAGCCAGGCATGGTAGCACCCACCTGTAATCCCATCACTCAGGAGGCTGAGGCAGGAGGATCATCGTGAGTTTGAGACCAGCCTGAACTACACAGCAAGATCCTGCCTGGGGAAAAAAAAAAGGACAAGGCTGTCTGCTATCACCACTCCCGCTCTCCTGTTCCATATAGTTCTCAAAACATTAACCAGAGCAGTTAGACAAGAGAGAAATAAAAGAAATGTGCATAGAAAAATAAATTAAATTATTAGTATTTGAAAATGATGATTCTCTACATACAAGACCCTAAAATCCCCACCAAAAGACTCCTAGAATTAATTACCAAATGTAGTAGCATAGCTGGATACAAAATCAACCCCCAAAATCCATAGCATTCCTGTACACCACAACAAGCTCACCAGGGGAGGAACTAGGGAAACAAATACCCCTCACAGTAGCATCAAGAGGAATGGAATACTTAGGGATTTACTGAACCAGGGATGTGCAGCATGGGGAAGCAACCCTAAAGATCACAGGGAGCCAGAAGAGACTTAGCATAGCAAAAGCAACTGGAGGCAGCAAAGGCGAGACGGGGGACGTCACAATCCCAAGCTTCAAGTTATACTTCAAAGCTACAGTGGTGAAAACAGCCGGGTATCGGCACACACCCACAAGAAACGGATTTGTGGATCAACAGGACAGAGTAGAGGATGCAGAAGCAACTCCAGGCACACTCAGCTATCTTATCTTTGACAAAGGGGCCAGATACTTTCGTTGGAGGGAAGACAGCCTCTTTAACAAGTGGTGCTGGGAACACTGGCTTCTCACATGTGGAAGGTGGAACCTAGACCCATCTCTCTCACCGTGAGGCAAAGGACTACACCCAAAGGACGTCACTGAAAAGCAACTAACTAAAAAGATCTTTATCCTAGCAATAAAGTCTTGCCAGGAGTGGTGGTGCGCGCCTGTAACCCCAGCACTTGGGAGGCTGAGGCAGGAGGATCACTGTGAGTTCAAGGCCAGCCTGGGCTACATAGTGAGCTTAGGACCAGCCTGAACTACATAGGGAGACCCTGTCTCAAAAATATTTTTTAAAAACCCAGTTTATAAAATAAGTGCAAAATAAAAGAGAAATAAACAAGACAGGGGGGGAAAGAGAAGAAAGCTATTATAATGCAGCATGGCCAGTGTATCTAAAAGTATACCTTGATTTCTAAGTGGTTTGGGGGGGGCGGTGGTAGGGATCAAACCTAAGGCCTTGTACATGCAAAGCAAGAGCTCTGCCACTGAGCCACATCCCCAGCCCAAGTTTGCTTGGCTTTTTGTTATTTATTTGTTTGTTTGGAGACAACGTTTCACTATGCAGTTCAGGCTGGCCTTGAACTCACTATGTAGTCCAGGCTGGCCTCAAACTCATGGTGATCCTCCTGCCTCAGCCTCCCCAGTGCTGGGATTACAGGCATGCGCCACCATGCCTGGCACCTTGATGTAATATAATTGTTTTATATGTTTTCTGGCCTTTAATCTGTGTTTATGATAAATCACTTGATAAAAACTTAAAAGTAAATTGGATGCTGGTAAAAAAATAGATGTGTTATATACATATGCCAACTTCCCGTAATGAATGTAATCATTATGTACTGCACACATGTACTAACAAAAATGAAAATTTGTTAAGTGTACTTTATCAAAACAAAAAGAAAAGACAGTTTATGAACAAAAAAGTGCAGCCTGGCATGGTGGTACACACCTGTCATCCCAGCACTCAGGAGGCTGAGGCAGGAGGATTGCCATGAGTTC